CTAATCAAACAACTGGTCAGAATGCAGGTTAAATACTAGTTAAAATACTCGTCAAATACTCGTCAAAATTGTTAGACATTGGTAATGTATGACATTTGTAATAGGACCCAGACGGTCAGGATGGGGTCTAGTAACAAGCAGTGTATAAACAAGTAAGCTATACAATGCTTAGATATGGTGATGACCGTTGCCTCACTCTATGCAATGACTGTAACGCTTGGGAACCCTTAACGGTGAAGCTTAGGAGTGACGCTTATACCGCCACTAATTCACCACTACTACTTACTATATATAAGAGACAAAGTTCTCTTATCAATAAATAATCACGACTATTCTGATTCATTCCTTCTTCTTATCTTACATCTCTGTGATCTTCCTCTAAAACTTATACTACATAAATATGTCACTATACGTTAATGAACAAGAGGTTATGAGCCCAGCCTCACAGCAGGTCAAGATCGCTGAAGGTCTTATTATTACGGTATTGACCCAGGACAATTACACTGTCTGGGCAAACCAAATGGAGGCCGCCTTCGAAACTCTGGATCTATGGGAATCTCACATCATAGGTGAACTTCCAGAAAAGATCGAGCGCGACTACAAATTAAAGGAATTCAAGGCAAGAGGAATCTTGCAGGCAACAGTGAGCAGTAAATTCAAGTTTATGCTCTGTGACAGTAATGGAATACAACTTGACGCCAGGAAAATCTGGGTCGGACTCAAGAACCATTATGTTGACTACTGTGAAAGATCGCTGACGCGATCAGAGGAAGCCATGGCAAATCTGCAGTACGATCCCAGGAAGGGAGTCGAGGAACTGTACAACACTATGACGAGTCTACGTCATAAGATTGCAGCGGCAAATATATTTTGGGGTGAGAAAGTGTTTGCATCAAGGGTGATGGCAAAACTTGTTTCCAAGAGCAGAGAATGGCGCTATTTCGAAGGACATACAGTGCGATGGACCGACGAAATGTTAAGCCCCAACAAATTCCTGTCGGAACTCATCGAGGAGGAAATTAAACTCATCAACATGGGTGCACTACCGAGGCACGGTGTAGATGACACCATATACGAGGCGAACTATGCGTCTAGAAATCATAGGAACCTACGGAAAGGTTCAACATCACATGGGCCAAATGCACACGGCGCATAGCAAGGCAACTCTAGTCGGGATGACTATTTTGCAGCAAACCATGAGATGGATAATTATTATCGTAGAGAGCAGGGACGTCGACCCTATGAACAAAGAAACGACGATCAAGACAGAATGCCCGCATGCCATAATTGTGGTAATATAGGCCACTATG